CTAACAGAGGGCTTCTACTCCATGTGTTACATTTTCATTCCTTCAAAATAAAGAAAAAGATTTGAAGCAAATATGGAAAAATCTTAGCATCTGTTAAATCTGGTAGATAGTATTTGATTATTCAGTTATCTGTGCTTTCCGGTATGTTTGAAATATAATAAAATTTTAAAAGGGGTGGATAGGGATATTTCTTCCTCAGAGACAAGAGAAAGGGAGGTAAGAACTGATGATACTGTAGATTGATTTTTTGGTGGGAGGAGGAGAGTGGTTAAGGGAAGTCACACTCAATGGCTTTGATTTACTCAGTGACTCATAAGTCAGGCTGTTTTTGGAGTTAGTCGACTTGGTTAGGAGCCAGATAAAAAAGAAATGGAAAAATGAACTGAGTAAGAATAGACCTTGGTAAATGAACTTCAATGAAATGGTCCAGTAACTGGACTACAAAGCAGCACTGAGGGTCCCAGTGAGGTTGAAGTAAATCCATAGGAAAGAAGCCTGAAATACAGAGCTAGACTCTAGGATTTGGAATATGAGCTTTACTTGTGCTTTGGACTTGCTCTGCTGATTTCTTCTGCTTGGTGGGGCTGACTCTTTTGCTTCTATGAGGTATAAGAGGAAAGAGTTTCAGTTTAGTTAAATTCATCTCAACAGACGTGATAGGCAGGATCCCATTATCAGGCAGGATATAGCCAAAAATAACATGTAATTAAATTCTGAGCTGATGGGTTCTTAAAGAGAACCCTAAGTTCAAATAACTAGAAAAAGTGTTTCTTTAGTATCTGTAACTACTGCTCAGGCAATAAGGGATCTCTTTTTGTCAGAGATAGATGGTAATGGAGTCCCTTCCTCAAATATTTGTTAGAGTCTAAATTTACAACGCTGTTTATCAGCTGGGAGAAAGCTTGCTCAGTAGTTTTAAATACAAACAAGGGAGGCATAAAGAAATGACAGCAATCTCATCTTAGGGATCTTAGCTCTGGCTCACTTATCTTAAGATCATGGCAAAAACTTACCTAGGGGGCTCAACCAATGAGGTTCTTTAAGGCAAATTATTTACAAATATATCATTAGTGTCTCACCTATAGTTATCCAAGCATCTCAAATAAATCATTACTATTCTTACCTGACCATCCGTGTGGCCATTTTTGGTTATAATGAAAAGATCCTGGTAAACAAAGGGGTTGGCAAACTATAGCCTGGGGCTAAATCCAGCCTTTCACCAGTTTTTATAAATCATGTTTTACTGGAATATGAACATATCCATTTATTTCTATATCATCTTTAGCTGTTTTTGAATTACAATGGCAGAGTTAAGTGGTTTCAACACAGATTATACGGACTACAAAGCCGTATTTGCTGATCACTGCTGTAGAGGAATGCTAGGTAACCTCTGAAAAGGTTATATCACCATCTGGAATTTATGCTCATTATTAATTCTTACTATCAGGCAAGAAATTATTACCAATAGTTTTGATCACAAAACCTTAGATATATGTCTAGTACTTTGCATCTTATAATGTACCTCTTCTATATATCTTATATCTGTGATCCTTATAACAATCCTGAGAGTTAGATATTGTTACCATTTTATAGATGAGAAAACAGACTGCTTAAGTGGTAGAGTCTGTACTTGAATCCATGCCTTTTGACTGATGTCGAAGGATCTTTCTTCTACCTACCAGATGCCTACTTATAGCACCTTTCCCCCCTGGCCAACAGATCTGTTCTGGTAAGAAATGTTATAGAACTGACCAATCAAAGAAACATTTCAGAGGGCAGCATTTAGGCAGTTAATTGCAAGAGCACTCTGAAACCCTTTTGGTGGCCAGACTCAATCCAACGAAACACCCTGCATTCCAAGATAGATTGAAATATCTCTGGCCACAATTCACAAACAGACTGCTTTCTTTTCATAGATTTAAAAAAAAAATCTAAATGGCAATTAGAGGATTACAAAAGAACTGTAAGTGCTCAACACCATGGTCATTAGGGAAGTGCAAATTAAAACTACCGTGAGATACCACTTCACACTAAAATGGCTACAATAAGACAGACAGACAGTATCTAACAAGTGTTGGCAAGGGCTTGAAAAAACTGGAATTCTCATACATTGCTGGTGGGAATGTAAAACGATGCAGCTACTTTGGAAAACAGATTGGCAATTGCTCAAAATTTTAAACACAGAATTACTATATGACCTAGTAATTCCATCCTGGTATATATCCAAGAGAAGTGAAGACATGTTCACATAAAAACCTGAACACTAACATTGTAAATGTACTAAGTGCCACTGAGTTGTTCACTTTAAAATGGATAATTTTATTTAAAAAAAAAAAAGGGAACAATCTGTAAGCTAACATTCATAGCAACATTATTCACAATAGCCAAAAAGCAGAAAAAACCCAATGTCCAAATGGTAAATGGATAAACTATGGTATATCTACAAAACAGAATATTATTTGGCAGTAAAAAGAATCAGTTGGGGCGCCTGGGTGGCTTAGTCGGTTAAGCATCCAACTCTTGATTTCGGCTCAGGTCACAATCTCAGGGTCGTGAGATTGAGCCCTGCACTGGGCTCTGTGCTCAGCGTGGAGTCTGCTTGTCCCTCTTCCTCTGCTCCTCCCCTCTGCGCATGTGCGCTTTCTCTACCCCTAAAATAAATAAACTTTAAAAATCTAAAAAAAAAAAAAAGGAATCAAGTGGTGATATCTGCTACAACACAGATGAACCCTGAAAACCTGCTAAGTGAAAGAAGCCAGACACAGAAGGCCACATACTATATGATTCTGTTTATATAAAATGTGTAGAAAAGTCAAATCTATAGAGATAGAAAGCAGATTGGTGGTTGCCAGGAAGTATGGGGAGTATCCTGAAGTGGGCATGAGGTTTATTTTTAGGGTGATGGAAATGTACAAATAGTGGTGATAGTTACACAACTCTGTAAATAGACTAAAAGTCAATGATTTGTACACTTAAAATGGGTTACTTTTATGGTATATAAATTATACCTCAATAAAGCTGTTAAAAACAAAAGGAATGAAAAGAGCTCCTTAGCCAGTCAAATATCCAGAATTACAGGCCTACAACCTCATACTTTTAAGGTGGTTAATGACATTGTACACAATTTTTCATGAACAAAGATAAAACAAAGGGAATTTAAAATTGGAAAGAAATATAAATTAGACTATATGTCACTGCTGATTGGAAGTTCTAAATGGTACTGGTTATAACCATAGAGTCTGTCTTTGCCTTTTCATGACCCTCAACTGATGGGGACTGAAAATTCTAGCAGTCTGGGAGAAGCTAAAGTGAATCAACAGGGAGCACTGGGCATTTAAAGGACCCTGAAAAGTGGACCATCAGGAAAGCCATAGTCCAAGTCTACATTCTTCAGGCCACGGTCATGTCATCACCATATGCTGCACACCCAAGTATTTATGGCCTGAATCACACACGGAGCCAGTCTTATCTCAGGCAACCATGTCGTCTGCAGCAACATAAGATAAAACCGTGTCAACGATAGGAGCATGTGGTTTAAACGTAGGTTTCCATGTACTGGATATAATCACATTGGGTCAAAGAAATTTCATATCATTTATCTGTTAATGTGGCATTTGTTTATTTTATGGTACAGAAAAGACAGGAATCAACTTCTTTGCATCTGATCCTAGGCAGATGGTGAGGCTAAAAGCTTAAGTGTTTAAAGCGGTAATGCTTAATACTTACGTTACTTTCCTATCTAACTGAAGGATAATGATCTCAGAGTTTGTAGAAGTAGCAGAGACTTTTTGGTCCACTTGAAGTTGGAATGAGACACCTGGCCTGTTATTTTAGTCTCACTCTGCTACCGCTAAGTAAGGTCACTGGGTAGAGTCATTTTTGGTACAGCGATTTGTTAGATAAGACAATTATGATTCAAATAAAGGACTTGTCACTGTGGGTTCCACTTCTGTATGTCTGTCGATCAGGCTTCTCCGGCTGTGCGCTTATATACTGGGAAGAATTTACTAGGCTTTCGGAGCTGCCCTTAATGCCATCTTTCTCTCTGAAGAGAACTGTTTTATCTTCAACGGTATCCCTCGGGGGGGGGGGGGGGGAAAGTCCGACACAGAGAACTATTTAAGATACTTGTATTTCTCCATCCTGAGGCAGGAAAAGCACTACTGGAGGTAGCAGATACAACAGCAAGCTGTGGGCTAGAAAAACCAGGAGAACAAATTTCTTTCCCGACTTTTGTGCTTTATCCCACAACTGTTAGTTAGACTCTAAGTTCCTTGAGATTAGGGACTTTCTCTTTTTCTGTTTTGTATCCCTAGTACAATGCCTATGTAAGTGCTGAATGAACAGATGAGCGCATACATGCACAGACAGACAAAGTATGTTCTGTCCTCCGGCATTATGTGTCCACCCTGGCCTTGTAAATGCTGAGAGAGGGAAGCTGATGCCGTAGAGTTCTTAGAAGTCTTGAAACTACTGAGAGAAAAACCAGGATTACAATTTGAATGGAGAATGGGGGAAGTAGCTCAGAGAAAGGTTAATGTTGGTTCCAGATAAATAGTTGGAAAATCGTAGCACTAGGAATATTAAAATCTTCATAAAACAATTATAAGAAAATTGAAAGAGTAACTGCTCTCAGTGATTTTTTTTTTTTTAGACATTGTGAAAATCTGCAACTAATTGCTACAGCGTTCCTGTCTTCAGGAGATGGTAGATCATATATTGAGTACACATATATATGTGTATGCTTCTTACCTAAATGATTATCCATGTATATGCTTCTTACCTAAATGTTTATCCATGTACATTTCCTGAAAATCTAGCAATCTGCTAAGCTGGGAGACGACAAATGTGGTTCTCTTTTCCAAAGGCCTTGAGAGGGACAGGCCACATTTTATAACAAAAAGCAGGGACTACACTGAAATGAGAGTAGCTTCATACACAGTGTTAAGGAAAGCCTGCCGGAGATAGAAAGAAAAAAGCCTTCAACTTTTCTTAATTACCTTAAAAATGTGTGCTTTGAGGATGTGATGTCCCAGTTCAATAGTCTGCTGTCGGTTTAGTTTTCCCTCTTGGCGAGAAAACCAGAAAGCAAGTAATGTGTGACCACTCCTGCAAAGAAAAAGAGACTCATTTTAGAACTGTAATGCCCCCATTCTGCATTGGGTGGGGGACTGTCCAGGTCCAGCCATACCTCCAGCAAAACTCTCTCTCATTCAACCAGTTTCTTAGAGTAGGGTACCTGCTGCTGGGCAAATAATGGATTTTGAAAGGTCCCTAGCTATTACCAGTCCTTTACCCAGATCACATGTGTGAATATCACAAAATGTCATTTCTAGTTGGCTTACACCCATCCCACACACAGATGGCATTAAAAGATTCATTTTTTATTTTCTGTCTCTGTGAACTCTCCTCTTATTTTACCCATGCTTTAAATGTCAGTGCTCCTCAGGATCTCCTTTTTGGTCCTAGTCTGTCCTTGCTCCATTAGCTCATCCATCCTGAGAGCCTTCACCACCACTGTGTCTTCTTCTTGATCTAGACTTCCGAGACTTACACCAATATACATCCAACTGTTTGTTGGATTTCTCCACCTGGAGGTCCCACATACCTCAAGCTCAACAAGTCCCCAGACGGATTAACCACCTCTTCCCCAAGTGAAGTCTTCTTTGATCCCCTCCACCTTCCCCGCAGCTGAGAAACAGGGAGTATTTTCTTTTTGGTACAAACATTATAGATTGTATACCTCTCTTGTACAGTATGTAGCACACTATTTCATGCTCTCTCCTCTACTTGACTGTAGGTTTCCTGACGGCATCCATTCCCCCTTCTCCTTGAAAATGGATCCCTAATCTCTTAAGAAAGAGAAAACTCTCTTTTCCGCCTCTGCATGTTGTCTTATCAGTCCATGATACTCAGATCTGCCATGGCTCTCTCGCATCATGGGGTCATCTGGTCTGAAGACAAAGCTAACAGAAGGGCTAAACTAAGAGAACTGGAGAAAAATAGAGCCTAAGCCCTGACTGTACGGCATCAGAAGCTGCCCGAAGTTTGGACTTGTTATATGAAGTAATGCATTTATACTTTACACATTATTGTATACTTCATACATTTATAAAATACATGTATACTCCATTTCGGTTGGAATATTCTAGTTCTTCTAGCTCAAAGCATCCTAATGATATATATTCTTTTTTTCAAAAAGATTTTATTTATTTATGTGAAGGGGGGTGGGGGGAGGAGCAGAGGGAGAGGGAGAGAGAGCATCTCAAGCAGACTCCACGTTGAGTGTGGAGCCTGAAGCAGGGCTCAATCTCATGACCCCGAGATCAGACCTGAGCCAAAACCAAGAGTCTGATGCCCAACCGACTGTGCCACCCAGGTGCCCCTGATATATTCCTTTAAGTGTGAATGTATGCATGTATGTATATATGTGTGTGTGTATGTATATAACATGTGTGTGTATTTCTATTTACATTATGACAGAAATTCTGAGTTATTTATATTCCCTGGAGTGCCTAACACAGTGTATTGCATATAAAAATTCTCAGTAACCTTTTTTGGAAGCAAGAGAAAGCTGGGTATTAAAGAAAGGGTGCTAGATCACCTTTGGGATATGCCTTCTTAGCACATTTGCTCTAGCCTGTAGGAACTGCAGACACTTAGGACTAAGGCTACTGCCCACCAGGTTGGTGCTCAGTAGAGTTCTTTATGCCACTGGTAACAAAACTCTTCTATTCCTTTCACTTGGAGTGTCACAGAAGAAGAAATGAAACCATTGTCTCAGTTCAAGTCTAATGAATTAGTCAAAAAGAAGGAAAAAAAAATAGCAAGTAAGTTTTCATTGATAATACTTCCCTAAAAAGAGGCCCAAATATCTACTGGATGATTTTCTCTCACTGGCTACTCTGCCAGGTTTAACCAAATTTGGAGATACCTCACACTAAAGTCTGAAAAAACAAATACATTTTAAATTTATTCTTTGATTTTTTTTTTTTTTTCAAGGTTCAGTAAAGACTCTGAAGACTAGAGGATGGGACAACTTAACCAGGAATCATTATAAAGAGATTTCACTCCAAAAAGACTTTAAAAAGGAATTCTATCATGTTCTAACCTTGAGCTTCAAGAATTTCTGAATTCTAGTGGATACTATGCCAACTTATTTCACTGGATAAAATAACCATAATGGAAAGGAAGTTATTTAATTGAAAGAAAGTCTCAGAGAAGTGTAGCTTGCATGAAATCATCAGTATCATCCGAAGGTATGAGCCCAGATCGTTTTATATTCAAAAATCTGGAAATTGCTACTGAACTTTTATTTATCCTTTGAAAGCCCAATTTAGTTGGTAGGCTATTTTAATAGAGCACATTAGAAGATGACACGCAACATTTATGAAGTGTCCTTTCTCAATTTCTCAAAGTCCTATCCAGTTATTAACACTGAAATTACTGTAGCCTCCCCGGTGTAAGAATTATTACTTTAAGTGACTCATCCATAGACTCAGCTACATAATACTAGAACCCCTGAATACAGGCCTCTGACCCACTACCTACGCTTCAGGCCATGCTCATCAGGGTTAAGATAAAAAACTCACATCTGACGTGGAAATGAATTAGACACAGAACTGACGTTGCCCTAGTGTTTTCATTTTACTACCATAACTAAGAAATCCTGGTAAAATGTTTGTATTTCTTTAGTACGCATTCCAGCTAGTTAGAGAGGATAGTGCTTGCGTTTACTGTTGTTGATCTGGCACGAAGGAGAAACAGCAAGCAACATGAATCAAGGCAAAGATGAAGGTGACAACTATCACAGTATTCATGAAAGAATGGTTCTGATCAGTTCATTGGAGTTTATGGTGTTCAGGACACGAAGGAAAACAGCAATTTATATTATACGCTGGCATTTCCATCTGTCCCTTACTGTTCTGATAAGAAATGGCGCCACCAGCTAACCTACCATCTGAATGTGTTACATTACACTTGTCTGTGTTTGTTTCTGTTTTCTAATTATTTGCTCACTTCCAAACCTTACTCCTTCTCACTCCTAGCCTCGCAATTCTGAGATTACCAGCAGCCTCTTAATTGGTTGTCTTTTAGCCTTTGAGCTTTATCTTTTTCTTTTTTCCCTCCAGCATTAGGCCTTATTGACTACCTCCCCTGGAACTCTCTTCTCTTGACATCTGTGACACCACCCGGGTACTTTTTCTCCCATTTCCTTCAGTGATGTAACTTCTCTGCTTTATTTCCCATTTCCTCTTATTTCCTAGTTCTCCTGGCTTCGGCTCTCACCGCGGTGACATCTCTAGCACAGACATATTGTTTTGCTTCTCTAATTGCCTGCTGGACCTCTCTTCCTTCAAATGATCATTCACATGACCTGTCATAATGACACTATTTGAAGCTGAAGCTCTCCCTCAAAACCAAATCCATGTAGGATTTATTTTTTAATGTACTGCCAGTCACTCAGGCATAAAATCTAGCAGTTGTATTTCTCCTCTCTTTATACTTTCTCTCTTGGATAACTGCAAGAGCCTCCTTCTCTCCACTCCCTGCTCCCTGGCCCATGCCAATAATCTACAGTGCAGAAACATGACAAAAAGTCTGCTCAAAATTCTTCAATGACTTTATACTTCCTCCCATACATAATCTAAACTCCTTAGCATGGTATTCAAAGGCTCGCCATAATTTGTCCCTTGTCTATTTGTCTTTACCTTTTTACCTTGTGTTTCCAATTTCAGACAGAGTAAATTATTCTAGGTTTTCAAACATGCTTTCCCTCTGCTTGTAATTTTCTTCCCCTTTTAGTTGGTCAGGGCAAACTATTTCTCATTCTTGAAGTCTCAGTTCACACCATCTCCTCTGTGAAGTCTTCCCTGGTTCTCTGGTGGTCCCACCAGATAGACTCAGGGGCTCTTTCCCTTAGATTCTTGTCCTTGGTACACATCCCCATCACACCTACTGCAGCACACTACCTGTCTGCATGTCAGTCTTCCCACAAGACTGTATGGAGGCTAGGGGCGCCTGGGTGGCTCAGTCCGTTAAGCGGCTGCTTTCGGCTCAGGTCATGATCCTGGGGTCTTGGGATCGAGCCCCGCATCCGGCTCCCTGCTCAGCGGAGAGCCTGTTTCTCCCTCTCCATCTGCCTGTCACTCTGCCTACTTGTGCTCTCTCTCTGTCTCTCTCTCTGTCAAATAAGTAAATAAAATCTTTAAAAAAAAAAAAAAAAAGACTGTATGGAGGCTGGAAGCCATGTTTTTCACACATGTACTCCTAGGCAATAGGAACAAATATTTGTAGAATGACTGAATTAATAATACCATAAAGTTGCACACTACCTTATGGTTTTAAAACTACTTTAACACTTTTTTAGATTCTCACAAACACCTGTACTATAGATAGGACTAAATATTACTCCTAATACTATGGTGGAAGACGGAGACTTGGCAAGACTAAAGGACAGCTCCCAGCTCACATGGCTGGGATCAAAAAGAGCTGGGATGAGAACCCAGGGTTTTCTGGAATCTAGTTCTGTTAACACATTGACGAGATTCGCAACTTGGTTTTCATTTCTGTGAGAAATGGGCATATTTACGTGAAAAAGTCAACCAGTATAAAGAGCAGTGTATTCATTTGTATGGTATAAACCCCGAATTCTTAACATAATTAAAATCAGCAATTAATTTTGACATTTTTTGATTGGCATTTTGGGAGAGACTAGTTAAGAAACAGAGGGAACCCTCATCAGTGTGACATGAGTTTAAGCATGACTGAACACGACTGTGTCTTCCCTCTATAATTAAAGACAGTAGTAATCAAAGTCAACTTTGGTGTGGGTTCATATGTGGTGATAAAGACCAAATGGGGGGGCAGTGGTGAAGGCAGAATTATTTTCACATAGTTTATATATAATGAGATCACCTTGTGATTCAAAGTTACATATCAAACTTCCCTGTCTGCATTCACCGTGCTGCCTCTTCATCTCTGAAACAAAATCAAAATAGACCTATGTTCAATTCCTAGTTCTGTCACTTAGAAGCTTTGTAACCTTGGAAAAGCTACTTAACCTCTCTGTAAGACAGGAATAGTGATAACGACCTCTCAGGGCTGTG